GGGAGGGGACTTCCCTGGTGGCACAGTGGTTAAGAACCCGCCTGCCAATGCAGGGGACACAGGTTCTAGCCCTGTTCTGGGAGGATCCCACGTGCCGCGGAGCAGCTAAGCCCGCGAGCCACAACTACTGAAGCCTGCGCACCTAGAGCCCGTGCTCTGCAACAAGGGAAGCCACCGCGATGAGAAGCCTGCACACCGCAACGAAGAGTAGCCCCCACTCGCCGCAACTAAAGAAAGCCTGCGGGTAGCAACACAGCCAAAAATAAATAAGTAAATTTATTTAAAAAAAAAAAGAGAGAAGAGAAAGAGACAATGCAGAAAGGTGACCATATAAGTGAACTGTTTTATTAACTCCATGATATTTACCTTGTATTCTTGAAATTTTGATGAAGAAAGCTCAGTGCTTACAATTCTACACTTTTATCAATAAATTCAAATTAGATTTCTACTTATTCTCAGATACCACCTGCTTTTAAGTGAACAGGCTTCAAATCTGTCACAATCTTGATCGTTTTTCTGTTTCCTGAGGAATATTTTATCAGTATTAGCTAGAAAGCAACTGGGAATCTTATCTTCTGTTTGACTGTACCTAAATGGTAATTCACAGATCCTTTGGATTGTTGCCCAGACAATAGAAAACAAAATCAAGAAAAAATAAAGCAGTGATACTAATTTTCATCTTAATGAAATGTAAGTGAAGAGCAGATGAAATTAATAAATACTAGGGGAAAAGGGCCAAATTCCACCAGCGCACATTTGTTGGACTTAACAAGGAATGTGTCGTTGGCTTACCCTCTTTATTCTATAGGATTCCGACAAATTAAGCTCCTCCAACTGGCAAGTTCTTAGCGTTGATGTAATGTTGCCTGTCCCTGGACAGCTGAGCTCAGCAGCTCTAGTTCCATTTTTTCTATCCAAAGAAGAGCTAAACATGCTTTGGACAAGTGTAATATGTTTGCCGCGTTTCAAGAAATTTTTTTCACATTTTCCTCTCTAGCTCTTGTTTATTGCACCATGATTTCTATAGATTTGATTTACTTGGGGCCAGGTGCAAATTTTAATAAAAAGAACAGTGTTCAAACTCGCCTAGAGCAGTCGAAAGGGGTTTCATGGATCTGGTATTCCGGAAGAGAAATTTTCACTTCATGTGTAAACAGAGTTTAGTCCACCATTCAGGCCTTGATTGATTGATTGATTTTCAGTGTGAGAGGGTTGTCCGTCTTCCTCTGACTCTTCTTTCTCTTCTCATTCTCTTCTCCTTGCTCCCCACCTCCTCCTCTCCCCCTCCTTCTTCTTGAATAGTAAATAGACAATGTATTCAACTGATACAAAGGGTAGTTCTTTGACAAGTTTGTTTGTTTAAAAATTGAGGGCATAATATACATAAGTCTGTAACTTTATTCTTCTGACAACATATCACGGACATCCCTCAAAGTCAATAGATAAAATCTAGCTCATTATTTTTAATACCAGCAAAATATTCTATAGTATGTGTATATTACAATTTTTCAACCAATCTATTGGTGAATAATCAGGTTGCTTTTAGCTTTATTTTCCACTAACAAGATGAAAATTAGTATTTCTGTATGTGTGTCTTTGCATATGGGTACTTTTGGTTCTATAGGGTAGAGTCAAAAATGTAAGACCGATGGATCGAAAGATACATATATAGGGACTTCCTTGGTGGGACAGTGGTTAAGAATCTGCCTGCCAATGCAGGGGACACTGGTTTGATCCCTGGTCCAGGAAGATCCCGCATGCCGTGGAGCAACTAAACCCGTGCGCCACAACTACTGAGCCTGTGCTCTAGAGCCCATGCTCCACAACTACTGAAGCCCATGCACTCTAGGGCCTGCATGCTGCAACTACTGAGTCCATGTGCTGCAACTACTGAAGCCCATGCACCTAGAGCCCGTGCTCTGCAACAAGAGAAGCCACCGCAATGAGAAAGCCGCGCACCGCAATGAAGGGTAGCCCCCGCTCACCGCAACTAGAGAAAGCCCATGTGCAGCAACGAAGACCCAACCCAGCCAAAAGAAAAAGATACATATATCTTTATATTATGTAGATCTACCGAAAGATCTCTGTAGTAACATTTTCCTACTTAGAGGAACATTCTCCTACTGCCATCATTTTTACTTTATCTTTTCTTTTATTCCATCAGCCTTGATTTTCTAATGACAACTTTTTTTGACGTTCAAAAACAAAAAAAAAAATTATGCTTTGCCTTACTCAGAAAACTTCAATCCAGAAATGAAGTATGTCCCAAATCAAACCCTTTTTAAGTGTCACCATGTTATATCCGGGATAATTTTCTATATTTTTTTAGCATTCCACTTTCTGATTTTTTTCTCAAACTTATGAAAGAACAAACAGCATGTGCCCTTTGTCCATCACGAAAATGACGATATTTGTAGACTCGGTTTTATTTGGTAACATCAGTAGAACAAAGAATTACTTATCACGTTTCTGTTTAGATCATTTTACAAAGACTCATTTGTTCCTGAAATTTTATAATAGCCAAGTCTATCAAGGATTTTTTTTTTTTTTTTTTTTTTTTTTTTTTTAACTCTCAAATATAGTCTTGATATTGAGCCAGCAAAAATTTTTTTCAGTTAGTGCTATAATGTACAATATACATCATGGGCCTGTTCTGAAATAAAGATGAGAATTATTTTCTTTTTGGCTCTGAACCAATGGTTTATTGGCCAGTCTCTCAAGTAAAGTTTTTTGACTTTTACAGACAGAAAATATGTCCACTGGACACAGAATATTTTTGAATAAGAAGAAAAATAAGAAAAACTCTAGGATCTAGAAAAGACCATTTCTTTTGTATTCATTGACCGTCAACATATATTATTTCATTTAATTCATAACAACCTATAAGATAAGTATTTGAGTTATATTGAGTCTCAATATAACTCTAAAAGGTTAAGTAACTTATTCAGTGCCTCACAGCAAGTAAGTAGGAAAGCCCAGATTTTTACTCCATTATCTGTCTGATTTTGAATCCATGCTCTATATACAAACATGTCCCCAGTTTCCTGTTTAATTTGCCGTATTGACCATCACCAGTTTTTGGCCCATCCTTTTGTCCTCTCTCTGTTTTAAGTTACATGTCAATCTGAGTCAGTCAGCGGTCAGTGGTGATACGGACATGGAGGTTCCATTGCCTACAGTATTTCTACACAACTGGCATGGAAGGAGGATATTTCAGGGCCAGTTGAGCTGGTCCCTCTTCTGAGGTTGACATTTCTCCCGGAAGCTCTGATGATGGCTGGTGGCAGGACTACTTTCCATGGAACATATTTAAGCCTCAGATTTCATCTTCATATTACTGAAGGTATTTTTTACCCTAACGTGTTAAAGCTACTCAGTAAAAGTTAAATCGATCTCATGTGATCCGCTTGCTGGGTGAACGCTTTTCTCCCTTTTGTTTCTTTAACCCTAAGGCTTATTTGGGGAACTAATACTATTTTTCTTCGAGATTTCCGAAAGGCATACTGGAAAGTTCCTCAGATCTCTCTTGCTTGATGGGGGGAGGGGCAGTGACATTCCTCCAATCCTTGTATTAAATTAAGATTCTACTTGAATAATTCCTTCATTGATAATTCTAGAAATGTTAAAACAGTGGAAATTTTAAGCAAGACACATGATTTTAAGAGACAACGCATTCTCTCCCTTGGATTGTCGTGAAATACACAGCCTTTTGCAGTTTAATATGTAAAACTGTCCAGAGGGGTTTTTTCTTTTATTTTTTCTTAATATGCCATCATGTATACAATTCTTGAATTGGCTAACAGTACTTTCCTCTATCTCATAGCAGTCGGTATTCTTCTTAAATATGGCATACATGAAAACACGGACTCATTGTTTTAAAAAATAATACAGAAAGAGGCCTAACTCAGATAAGTTTGGGCTGAAAATTTCCTGCCAGTGGAGCCATAGAGGTAGAGGCTCTTTGTGAATGGCAGGGAATCTTTTTCTCAATTCTTTGATTGCCATCCAAGTCTTTGGGGAGGAAATAAAACATCACTAAAGAGTCTGCGGTTTGGCACGTTGAGGTGAAGGCTGAACCACTGCCTGCTAGTACCTTCACCAGCATCGTAACCCATCTTTTTTTTTTTTTTTTTTAACGTTGTAAATGCTATATAAACTTTATATGAGCAAACAAGCTCAGAAATGCACATTCATCTCAAAAGTACCGTCTTAGTACAAGTTAGTGCAAATTAAGATGAATCTAAGCGGGTTAAGTGAAACCAATGTCAAAATCACACATTTATATCTAAGGTAACTTCCTAAGGTGATATAGAACAAATCTAAGTGAAACTAAGCAGACTGTTTGAAACAAGCAAGAAATGACACATTTGACAAGATGGGCTGACCATTAACCAAGGCTCGGAAGCAACCAAGCCCGGAAGACACCTGAAGCTAGTGCCATGCTGGGGCTGGTTTGCGGCGAAGCGGCTGAAACCACAGACGTGCTGCGAGTGGCTTCTCTCCCCGGGAAGTGCTGCCCCCAGCGCTGCCCGATGTGCACAAGCCCTTACACAAGTCGCTGATGCCCGGCGAAGGGCATTCCCATAACTGCATGCACTCAGGCTAAGCCGTGCACACCCACACCCCAAATTCAGAACGCAGAGCACATGACACCCCCGTGGCCCCACTACTCTCCCACTTTGGAGCACTTTCTGCAGAGCATGCAAGCGCTTCCCTTCTTTTTTCCCATCTTTCAAGTTGCGAGACCCGGGGTTGGGTGGCGCGTGGCTGCAACTGGAGCCTTCCCCTCTCCCGGGTTGCCCTGGGACCCTGGGGCACTCCGTTGTGTCCAAGCGACGCCCAAGCATCCCGCGCTCCTCCGACGCTCCCAGCGAGGACAAAGGGGGTCCGCATCCCAGTAAAGAATCGTCGGGGAGACGGGCTCTTGGGCCGCCTGAGAGTGCCGCAGGGGACAGCGCCCGGGGACTCGGCGTGCCCTCCCTTACCCAGGGTGCGCTCACCACTTGTAGCCTCTGCCGCGCTTGAATTTGAGGGTCAGCGCCGTCTCCAGAAAAAGCAAGAGGTTGAGCAGCGCCAGCAGCCAGTACCACGGCTCCTCCTTCACCTCGGTCACTCGCCAGACTCCAACCAGCGAGTGCAGCACGAAGAGCAGCCGGGTGGCCAGGGCGTTGAGCAGGACCAGTCCCTCCATGGCGCCCGGCGCGCTCTGCCCGCGCCCCGCGCCCGCGTCCCGCAGACCCCGCCGCCGGGAGCACCCGAGCCAGCCCGAGGGCGGGACGCGACAGCTCCGAGACCTGCCGCTGCCGTCGTCCTCCCTCACCCTCCCGCGAACGGGAGCGAGCGGGGCGCCCCTCCCCCAAACTTCCTGCGAACTCTTGAAAGAGAGGCGATTCTGCACCCAGCTTTTCGGGCTTTCCGGGGAGTCTGGGGCTGCGCTGCTCGGCCTCCCAGGCGTTATTCTCCCGCGCTTGCCCATCCCCCTCCCAATCCCGGGGAGTGGGGAGGCCTCTCTCCGTCCCTGCCCTCGACCCCCGCCGCCCGGCTTCCGTGGGGTCCTCGAGAACCTCGCCGCTCCGAGGAATTGGAAAGAGGGAGGCGGACTGAAGGTCGTGGGGCTGCATAGCCAGAAAGGGGGAGGGGAACGTCGGGGGCTGGGGGGCTCCCTTACTTTTCCACTGACGTACTTTAATTCACTCACACTTCTTGCAGGAACAGGCTCTCATGGTGACTCTCAGATGGGACGCGGGAGAGCCAGAGAGTCTGCTGCGCTGGCAGGTTTAGAAATACGGTTCCAGCCCAGTTTGAAGAATTCAAAACTTCCCCGGACTAGAGGAAATGAGGCACCCTGGGCTTTCCCAGAGCTCCCTGCCCCTCCCTTAGCGGACGGGTAGCCCGGGTCGCTTCCACTGTTTGGACCAGGTGTTATTAAAGCAAAGAGATATAGTCTTTAGTATGTCTCGCCCCCCCCCCCCCCCCCCCCCCCCTTTTGTATTTCTCCCCCCCCCCCCCCCACACACACACGCTATTTTTTCTGAAAGGAAGTAGGGTGGCAAAACAAGAGGGCAGAGGGGACAGTGAGGGGGAGACAAGATAAAGCTAGGTTTAGGTTAGACGGAGAAATTCATGGAGTAGGGAACTGTACCCTTGACGTCAGTGACTCCGACTTGCCAGCACCCAAGGCAAAGAGGAAACAAGTCAGCGTTTCCCAAAGCACCTTCATGATTTTTGTTTCCTTGTTTGGTCTCCTACCACCTGTACCACTATTTACTTAACATTTTTCCTTAAACGAACTCAAATTTTTACTGAAATAATTTTTAAAGAAATCTTTTTATCACTTGTAAATGGAAAATCAGTGTAGTAGGCTATAAATGGAAGGTAATTACCAAAAATAAATGGAATAAAATGAAGCTAAGTTATTGAGATCTTGCTAGATATTAATTATTACCTTCCTAGCCTCTGTGCCTCAACTTGCCTCTTTCTGGGAAAATAAAGAAATGCTAGTCCTGGGACTTTCCTGGTGGTCCAGTGGTTAAGACTCTGTGTGCGCTTCCACTGCAGGGGGCTCTGTTCCATCCCTGATGAGGGAACTGAGATCCCTCATGCCTTGTGATGCGGCCAAAAAAAAAAAAGCTAGTCCTCTTACTACCAAGCAGGAATGCTCTCTTGATCACATTAGTAAAATTGAAAGTAAAACTCAAAGAGAATGTCTTTCTTGCTTAGGTTTATTCAGTCTAAAATCATCCCATACCTGTCTTAAATTAGGTTGAAATCTCTGAATTATACAATTACTGTCTTCATTAGGTGAAAAAAAAAATCCAGTTACTTAAAAGAAACTCAGTTATTTCTGGTGCTGTGATTAAGGAGATTTTTTTTTTTCCTGTGTGTCTGCATTCTTCCATATGTTACAGGAAACCTAGCAGTGATATCCTGGGGCTGTTTATTATAGTGCCCTTCAGTGCAGGCTGATGGCACAGTGACCAGTGACTGTACAGCAGTGATTCTGTACAGCGGGAAGCAGCATGGTGTGGACATTGGAGCCCCAGCACTGGCTCAACTGGCTGTCCTGGACTCCTGGCTCAGCCACTTAGTTGTGTGTAAGCTTTGTACCTCAGTTTCCTCATCTGTAAACGGGGTACTAAGCCTCTCAACTCGTAGGGCCATTGTGAGTATAAAATGAGTTAATTCATATAAAGCTCCTGGCGTGTCCTAAGAGCTTGGTAAACCTTGGCAATTACTGCCTGGACCAGGAAACTTAGTCCAGGGGAGCTGCTCTTTGATGATCTGAGACAAGTAATAATAAAAGTGCAGAGAGAAACTTGACTTTCCTAAGACCTGTCAAAATCCTCCATCCCGACACCACCAGGAACACATCTATTGCTGAACAAGTTTTATTACGTTTTTAGGGAGGGAGTACACACTCCATGGAGAACTGTGGGGTGTCTCACTAAGAAGCTGTCAGAAAGGTTAGAAAAGACTTACTAGAAAGGATTGGGCTTGTGTTAGGTGATTTTAAAGAGGGCTGAGGAAGGTGGGGCTTTACTCTAGATTGGATGCTCTCAGCAAGTAGGGTTAATGATTCTGCATTTGAGTGTCTTGAAGCTAATTTAGATAGGTGGGGAATGTGTGGTCATTTTTGTGGTTTGGACAATGTTCATGTTTCGTCTGTGTTCAGACATGATTGTAGAGTGGTCCTATTTTTTGTCTTCATCCATCATGCTCACAGAGTGGCCTTGCTTGATGTGGATGTGCTGTGAAATTTTTGTGCTCACCAGGAGGAGACGGAGACCTGGCTGACAGTGCCAGACCAGTTGCCTGCTTTAGGGGGTTACTTTTCTCTTTCTCAGGTCTCCAGAGAAGGGCTCTCCAGGGGAGAGAGGTTAACAAAAAAGAAAGGGGGGTCAATCTGACATCTTCCCCACATCTTTGTTTTTCTCTGTTTTGAAGGTTTAGATTCAGTATAGGTTCTGTTGTCTCTGGATCTGAAAAACAAAACTGTCATTAACGAGCACCTTAAGGTTAGTTCTTTTTAATTTTCTCCTAAGCCCGTTTTAGAAAACTGGAAGCTTTGAAAAATATTTTGAAACCTTCAAGCCAATAGGCCAATAATCTTTAAAAAAGAAAAAAGCACTGAGCAATTAAAAAACTCTCCTACACCTACAGTGCTAGAGATGTCCCTGCCGGATACTATCCAAAGAGTGTGCATGCAATTACGGTCCCACCCATGGCCTCCCAATAGTGATGCAATCCAAAGTCATGTCTGCATCCAGAGCCACCAAAGTTGCAGGTTGGTCTCAAAAGCCACAACCTCCTAATAATGTTCATTTCTCCCATAGCCCCATTTTGATCCTATTCAGACATCACTCTGACACACACACGCACACACACAGAAGCAGGCAGTGGTGTCAGTGTAAGGAGGGCTCCCCTGAGCCTCTGAGAGCTAGTGCTTAGTGCGTCTCACTCAGGCCTTGGTAGAGCTGCCTAGACTTCTCTCCTCTACCCCATCCCCCAGCCCTGGCTGCTGCAAGAGCCACATCCACCCCCAAGAGTGTTCTGATTCTCTTTATACCCTTACTAGGAGTCTCACCCAGCCCACCCCCCTCTTTCTTTCAAGAACACTTCTCAGATTGTAATTCGAGATCATTGAGGGCTCTAGGTAAGGAGTAGCGATGGTCTCCGATATAGACGCTCTGAATATAGTTATTGAATAAATACCTTGAGCACAGCTGCTCTTCACACTTGCTGGTATGACTTTGGCTTCTTAGGAGCTCTCATGGAAAGAGCTGTGCTCACCTCTATTCTCTTAGGCTGTTTTCTTCTGCTCTACTTTCTCCATTGACCCTATCCTATCTGTACTCTGTCTTCCTGAAATTCCTCAAAATGCCTGGTCTGTCCCGCCATGCTTTCAAAGCACTGTTTTAATTGCATCCTTTCTGGCTTTAAAAATCTCTTCTATTATTTCAAAGGTGAAGTCTTAGCTGCTAGATCACAAATTTGAACCAGAAAACTCACAGATTTACTTACTGTTGTGAAACATAAGGATTAAATAGGAACTCTAATTGCAACTATTTCACATTATATATAATAGTAGAGGAAAAACAGATCTTTGCTAAGTTACTAATAACTGTAATAATTACTCTTATTTTAAAAAAAGGAAAAGTCAGAGGTAATTATCAACCTTCAGACACTTCAACAGCTAGCAAGGAAGAGAAATCTGAAGTGTAGGCAAAGGGTCTGGAGTGAGGCTGCTTTCAAGTTGCCTTCTTCAAGCCTTGTCTCCACCTCTTAAGTGATTGGCAAGTTGCTTAACCTCTTTGAGCCTTGGTTTCTCATCTGTAAGATAAGAATAATGATAATACCTTCATGTATTATGAGGATTCAATTGACTGATATTTCTAAAGTGCTTAGAAAAATGCCCAAATTATAGCAAGCACTCAGTAAATATTTGTTGAATAAATAAATGAAGATACGAGTGAGAGCTGAATAAGCAACACCCCAAAACAGAAATATGTTATTCCCCAGCTGGCATCACAGCCGAGTCCTCTTCTAAGGCCAGCTGCTTGTAAATGATGGGGTAAATAATAAAGTAGTAAATGTTACTGGTATGCGCTCAGTGCTTCATTCTATCACATGGAGGGAGATCACAGATCAGTGGAAACACTGCGTGATTGGCTGTGATGATAAGTAAGTCTAAAAATGCTGGTGGTTTTACTACCCTGAAGGTGTAAGATTCATTTCCCAGGATAGCTAAATAGTTAAGATTTTGGCTTGGGAGTCATGCAGCTTGGGTTTGAGTCACAGTTCCTGTTATGGGCTGAATTATGTTCTCCCAGTATCCATATGTTAAAGTCCCAACTCCTACTACTGTAACTCAGAATGTAAGTGGATTTCAAGATAAGGTCTTTAAAGAGGTGATTAAATTAAAATGTAGCCATTAAGGTGGGTCCTAATCCAATTTGAATGGTGTCCTTATACAAAGAGGAAATTTGGGTGCACAGAGACAACAGGAGTGCACATGCACAGAGGAAAGGCCATGTGAGGATTCAGCGAGAAGGCGGCCGTCTGCAAGCCAAGGAGAGAGGCCTCAGACAGAAGCAGACTGCTCTCTGTGATCTAGGACTGTGAGAAAGTAAATATCTGTTCTTTTTTTTTTTTAATATTTATTTATTTATTTATTTTTAAAATTTATTTGGCTGTGCCAGGTCTTAGTTGGGGCATGTGAGATCTTCGTTTCCACGTGCGGGATCTTCATTGAGGCACGCGGGATATTTTAGT